TGTGTTAGCTCAATTTTACTCAAACTTCAATCTATGAGATCTGTTGCTTGCTTCATAAGTAAGAGTATACCTATGTGCTTATCTTAACAGTTTTTGTCAATGTTCTCTTATTGATAAAATATCAACTAGGAATAATTTTATAATATATAACTTATATGTAATGATGATCTCATAATTACAATCTCATTTTAATTTTCATACAAAACTTTATTTATATTCCAAGAAATTTATCATATAAGTATCAACATAGAAATATATGTATACAAGCTCAATGATAAAGAAATAAGACATTTATAAGATATCAAATATCAAAGTATTGCAAATATGACAATATCTTAGCTAAAATATGATTCGGCTTAAAGGACAAATACCAATACTTATAACTATTCTTATATACAAACTTGAAAAAGCATCATAAAACTAACTCTTTAGTGAATGTCAGATCTATTCACTAAATCAAGCTATCTATACAAATATGTAAAGCAAGCCACCCAGAAGTGTAAGTACCAATGTTGTTAAGGTCTCTTAATAGGGCCAAGTAGGATACTGATACACTAATTGCGCTATTTTCAACAAACGACATACAGCCTAAGAGATAGAGTAAAATAACCTCACTAGCACAATGTATGTCTTCATCAAAAGCTATATTTGTAATATTTTTGAATATTTTCCACAACCACTATAGCCTAGCCAATATACCACAACATGTTTTTGTCTTATTCACTATTGCAACCCTAGACATTCTAAGTAACTTTATTAACATCGTGTTCGCATCATCATTTGACACATATTGAAATGAAAACATAGCTCCTGTGACAGGAGTCGAGAATGGAGAACACGTTATCCAATGTGATTATTGTCTTACTGAATGAAAAGTGAAAGATGTTCGTATTAGGCTGTTGCTTTTCATAAAATGTTGATACTATCATATTATTAAGCAAAGGATTGGTGCACCCAATCAAAGATGCCAACCTAGATTGAATTATGTTGGCATGGATTCATTGTCGAGAAGCATTTATAGGCTAATGCTATAACTTTAGCCTATGGTTTATTGATTTCAATGGACCTCACTGTTATAACAACAACAACAATAAATAGAAACTAGTTATTAAATTTAAAAACATTATATAACAAGAATAAAGCATAAGCATAATCGTGATTGAATTGATTATCTGGCCATTCCATTTATTGACTGCAACATGTAATTTGAAGTTTTGAAGGATAGAAGTATCTGTTAACCCTCTAAGAAAAGTTTAAACTATTGGTGGGTACGAGGTATCTCCTTTACAACAATATCATCATCTAAAGGGCCAATAATGGGCTCATCGACATGTTCTTTAACTCATCCTCATCTTTTTTTAGAAGCAATTAGATGCCTTTGATCCTTTGTAAGGCTAAGATCGACTATATTATGACCCTAACCTCTACCAATGTTGTCTCCTCTTGTTTGTGCCACATCTATTGTCACATAGAACAAAATATCAAACACTCAATTCAACAATTAACAAATTTGCATAGATCACAATTTTAGGTATGAGGTTTAAGGATTAAGATTTAAGGTTTACTATTTAAAGGTTTAGAGTTTAAAGTGTTTAGGAGTCTAGATTGAGGGTTCCTAAAGCTTTTGAAAGCTTTTGAAAATGTAAATTCAAAAGTGAAAAGTTTTCAAATTTACAAATCCGAAATCCTTTAAAAACTTTCGAAAATATATATTTAGAGATTTTTTAAAGTTTTTAAAAATTCATATCCAGACTTATGATTTCAAGCACGATATTCATCCAAACCTTAAACAAAATCAAAGCATTTAATTAAAATAAAGCCAAATTAGAGACAAATTATCTCTAAATTAAACTTTAATCAAAGCATTTAATTAAAATAAAGCCAAATTAGAGACAAATTATCTCTAAATTAAGCTTTCTTAACTTGATTAATTCTGAAAATCAATGAATTTAGCTTAAGGGTTTTAATTGGGGTTTTAAGTTTTGGAAAAGAATTTTATGGTAATCGAGAGGGTGAGGTAACGCCAGGATTATGGGTGTATTAAATAAAAAATGATTTGAGAATTAATTTTGAATGTAAAATATAATAAATAATTTGATGAAAAAAAAGTGTAAATAGATATATATATATATATATATATATTGTAAAACTTGGGATTGTTTATTTATGGAAAATTTAAGAATTTTTATTAAAATATTTGCAAAACTCCACTCTGCCAAACCTGGCTGTCAATCTAACTTGGCATATCATGCTTTTGCAATATATGGGGACCATAGTCTTTTTTCGAATATTCATTAGGGGTAGGGACCCCTTGATATATATGAACTTTAACCGGCAATATTATTGCTAGTTTGGTAATTGGTATCACGGAGAAAATGATCTCAACATCTGTGGGAAATGTGGGGAACAAAAGCAAGAGAAAGGATTTCTATGGAAAAATTTTAAAAGAAATACTAATTGTGTCTTCCTTAAGATCACCAAGTCCTCATGGGAAGCTTCATCAGTGCCACTGTTTCCTAATCATGATATCTAATTTTTTTTAATCAACTTACACGTGAAGTACTCTTAGACTAAAAAATGATTGGTTAAAAAGTTAAAAAAAAAAAAAATGAAACAAGTAAAGAAAATAAAAAACCTAACAAATACATGTGCAGGAATTGAGTTTTAAGGAATCGATCGATTTCCATCCTTGTATGCATGTTAGACAAAAGCTACCCTCAGGAGAAAATCCTTCGCGGAATCGATCCTCTCGCTCAAATTATTCAGAAACTAAGGCTCCATTTTTGTTTCGTTTAAGATTATTTTTGAAAAATAATTTTTATAATTTTAGATATTTGTTTGATAAAACATTAATTGATCAATAAAAATAATTTATTGATCAACGAAAAATAAAATAATTTTTCTGAAAACACTTTTAGTATTTTAAGTTTGAATATAATATTTTAAGTTCAAATTTAATTTTATTCTACTTGAAATTTTATTTTATTAATAAAATATTTGATTTAATTTTAATTAAAATATTAAAAAATTTACATTAAAAGTCATTTAATATTTTAATTTTAAATATTTTAATTTTGTATATTATTAAACATAAATATTTTTAATATTTCAATACTAAATAGTATTTTATTATTATTTTAATAATAAGTAATAACATATATAATAATATTTTTATTATTTTAATAATAAATGTTAAATAATATAATAATATTATTTTCTTAATATGAATATTTTTAATAATTTCTTATTATTATTTTGTTTAAAATATATAATTTTATATTTTATTTATTATGGTATTTATATTACTATTTTAATAATAAACATAAATAAAAAAGATTTTTGATATAATTTAATAATAGATACTTTCAATATAAAATATAAATATTTTAATAGTATAAATATTTTAATATTAATAAAAATAATATTTATAAAGAATAATAAATAGTTTTATGTTTAGTATTTTTTTATATTAATATAATATTTTAATATTAAATATTATTATTAAAATATAATTATTCTTGAATATTAATAATTTTAATAATAAATAATTTCATTGTACCATAATAATTATATTAATATTATTTAAAAAAAACTTTTTGGAAAGTAACCAAATAATAGAAAATATTTTTATTAACTCATTCAAATAATAAAAAATTTTTACTGCTTTAGAAAATTAAATATTTTCTAAAATATTTTTTTTGAAAGTTAATTTTTACAAAACAAACGTAACCTAACAGTCATATTCTTCAAGGACTAATGAGTAAACTTTTTTTGAATAAATTTCACATACACCTTTTATGTAATTTATTATTTTTTATTTACATTTTTTATGAAATTTTTTCACTTATAACTTTGTAGTTTATTTCAGTTGTCAAAAGAGATAACGTTAAAAAATAAAAGTGAGGATAATTTTTTAATTTTATTAAAATCTACTTAATTTTTATTGTGGTTACTCTCGTCTAATAGGGAAAGTGAATTACAAAATTATAAGTGCAAAAAATATTTTCACATGAGGTGTAAATGAGAAAGACGTAAACTAAAGAATTGTAAAAGTTATATCTAAGCTTTGAATGTATTTGTAAGCTTCAAAAACATGATGGATTGGATTTTTGGACAAGAGAAAATCACGAGAAAAAAGACGTATGTATCTTAAGAAATTATCAAATTTCTATAAACAATTGTCTTTAAATTTTCTATTTATTCTCTATTTAATTTTAAATTTATTTGTACTTAAATTTCATAATATATATGTATATTTATTGTATTGTTATTTTTCACAAATATTTATTGATATTTAACTTTTAAAAAATTTTGACCCAATTCAATTCAGTTATTTACAGTTGACCTAATAATGTTATTTGAACTTTTTTATGAATTTTTTTTTTTAGAAATTACAATGACACTTACATATTACCTTATACAAGAAATTACTAAATTAAATTAAAAAAATCAATTGACAAATTAATATATAACTAAATAAATTTGACATAAAATTAGATTAAACTTAAAATCTTTAAGATTTTAAAATATACTCCTTGAAACCAAACCTAATCACCTAAGAAATTAAAGGTGATAACATGTCAAATAATATCGGATTACGTTCAATTTTTTTAAATATTATATGATATTATAAAATTTTAAAATTTAATTTTATCGGTTTGATTTTGTTAGATTTATTAATTTTTAATTTTTTTAATTTTATATATTATTTTAATATAATATTTTAATATATTTAAGTAGATTTTGATATAAAATAATTATTGTCATTTTATAAAAATTTTAAAAAATATAAAAAATTAAGAAAATTATATAATTTGATTTAATTTAGTTTTTTTTAATTTTTCAATTTTTGATTTAAAATTTAATTCAAACTTATTATATATATTTAATATTTGAATTTAATTTAATTGAATAAAAAAATCCATTGAACTAAATCAAACGCTAAAATTTTGTATCGAATTTCGATTTTATCAATTTTTATTCTCACCTTATAAGGAATACGGTTTACTTTCTTCATCCATAGAATGGAAACAACAACAATCTACCAAAAGAAAAGGAAAAAAAATAGTAATAACGGTCCTCTTTACTTGAAAAATTAATTTTTATTATCTAATAAAAGCAAAATAAAATCCTTATTTTCCATGTAACCCCCAAACCGGTAGCTATAAAACCCGTTCCAAGACCATCGCAAACAAAAGCCGGTACAAATCAAAATTTACTTTGTTAGGGTGCTGGTCACACGCCGACGCCTTAGATTCCTTTGTTATCCTGGTTTTCTCAAATTGGGTACAATTTTTATTCAACAGATAATAAAAAATGGTGAGACTGGTAAGGACCTGCATACAATCAATATTGAAGCTGGTGAATTCATTTGTTGGAATGGTTGGTATGGCCATGATTCTGTATTCAATTTGGTTAATTAGGGTTTGGCAAAGAGAAATGGGGGAGTTGCCTTTTGAAGGCTTTGATTATGCAGCTCCATGGTATGTTTCTCTTTCTTGGGGTTAATGGGGAAGCCTGGGTTTTAGAAAGGCAAATTTTTGGGTTTTCGTAAGGAATGAAATTTTAAAGGATTATGATTTGTGTTTGATTTGATAAATGTTTGGTTGTTTGCTCTGTTTTTAAATTATTATTTCTTTCCATTTTCTGTTGGTTGATGGGAAAATTGAAGGAAATTAAAGAATATTGTTGTTCAGTTAGTTTTCTTTTAATTCTGTCTTGTTTTGGACAGATCACATGTGGGATTTTATTGCTAAAAGAAACCACATTTGTTTGGATGAATTGCAGGTTTATCTACACTTTCCTTGGCCTTGGTGTTACGTTGTGTGTGATCACATGTTCTGGGCATGTTGCTGCTGAAACTGCAAATGGCTGTTGCCTTTATTTTGTATCCTTATCTTGAATCAGTTAAACTAGATACCATTGTCCCCCTCTTATCATCAATCTTACTGAATTTCTGATCTAAAAGTCAATATTACTTTGGGGAGTGTATATTCATGGTATACAGTTACTTTTTCTTGTATCTATATTACAATTGCCCTTTTCAATGATTTTGTTCTTTGCTACTATGATAGGAATATTTTTACTGCTTCACAAACTCAAATCACAAGTTAATGGAATGGTAAATTTGTTGTTGCCTTAAATGCATTTAGTATATGGCATTCATCTTTTTGCTTCTTATGCTGGAGGCTGCGGTGACCACTGACGTATTTCTGAATCGTGACTGGGAGGAGGTATATCACATACAAAAGCTGATAATTTTGTAACTTTTGGATGTCTTACAAAGGTACAGCTTACTACATATGCTTACAAAACTTAATGTGGTTCCTATGCTAATTTCATACCAGGACTTTCCAGCGGATCCAAGTGGGAGTTTTAACAAGTTCAAAGATTTCATTAGGTCAAACTTTGAATTTTGCAAGTGGATAGGCTTGTCTATCGTGTTTGTACAGGTATATCTCTTCCTGGAATGTAAGTGATGGTAAATTGTACTGTGCATTTCACCTAATTAACTACAGTGACATTAGCTTGTTCAGTTGTAGGGTTTAAATACGCTGTTAGATTATTGCCTTCAGATGATTTGAAATGTCTTAGTGTTGCTTTATCAAAATCCCTATGTGCACTTGAGCGTTGTTGAAATTTCCACACTGTTCCCCTGATAGAAGCAATTTCCAAAATGCTTCTTGGTGAGTAGGATATGAGATGGAATTGTATACTTTGAAAACTTACAGGTGTGGTTGCGGGTTTACATTTTCTTGGTTTGTTTTTGGCTTCGCACTTGTTTTCAAAGCCTTCCTCCCTTGACCTCTTTCTTATTTCTCCTTTTGAGTTTTTATCATTTCTAATTTAAAGGATTGCTTAGGTTAGAGTAGTAAGTTTGGCATGCCTTGGTTATCATCGTATGCTTGACCGTCTATCTTCTTCCTTTTGCAGGGATTATGTATCCTGCTGGCAATGCTAGTTAAGGCTCTTGGGCCGCATCAATATTACGAGAGTGACGATGATATTGATCCTGAGAGAGTTCCGCTACTAAAGAATGATGTTCACCCAACTTATGTCGTTGGCAGCCCTATTTATGGATCCAAAAGTAATGCCTGAAACATGAGAGAATTAAATATATAGTAAAAATTATGTTCTTGAACCTGGGATTATGCGCTGGTTGCTTGGCGCCATCGGTCCTACTTTTTTGAGGTACTAATGTAAAGAATTGAGGTATCAAGTTTCGGAAATCAAACTCATGTTGGGTTTGGCACGGTGTACCTTGGGAGCTCAATATGGTGCTTTGCATCTAAATCTCCTCAATAAAATATATTTGTCTTTAAAATAAAATAATAAAAGTAATAGGTTAAACACAAAATTGAGGGCTCACTTTTGGTATATTTAAAAATAATAATAATAAAAATTAATATAATAAATGAAAAAAATATGTGACAATACTTTTTTTTTTTAGAATTTAAAAACATTTCGGATAATGTGTGAAATAATAATTTATGTACTAGCGCATAACTACAATTGTGCAATTAAAAACTAGTGTTACAAATTAAAAAATGGTCATTATTAAACCATTGATGTCCTTATTACACCGATGTGGCAAAATTGAACTATGCACCAAAGTGCGTGTGGTAGTTTAAGAATACATGTGTAGCAATTGTGGTAGAAGAAGATAAAAGAAATATATCGGTTGTAATTATTGTATTATAATTAATTAATTATCATTTAATAAGATGAATAATTCATCAAAATATTAAGTGGAATCACATTTTATAAATTTTTTTTGTTATAATTAAATTATTACATGATTGTAATAAAAAATTACAGGTAAAATGTTTCGAGAAAAAAAGAGCTATGTTCCGTCTACAGCAGCAGTTTCCAAACTTGTGACTATTGCCCTTCGAACAAGGCCCATTTCCCCTCTCTGCCAATTATTTAGATTGTTCTTTTTTTTTAATTGCAAGAAGTTACTGCCATAATACAATATTAATTTTTATATGAAAAATCATTAATATTATGTCTATATACAAAAAATTATTAAATTAATTAATAAGTCAGAATATAATTAAAAAATTAAACATAAAATTTAATTTAATTTATACATAATAAGACTTAAAACTTTAAAATTTTAAAACCTCCTCTCCTCTTGCTACTAAGCTAATGCTGCATTGGCATTAGGCCGTCCTTTTAAATGACGTGGTTTTTGAGGCTATACATCTAATTGCCCAGTTCAAGTTTGTAATTGGTTCTACATTGATGCATGGAAGATGGATGGTAATTGTAAAGAACTGTTATTGACATCAGAAATTGAACAACAAAATTCAATGAAAGAACGTTAAGGCGACACCAACCATAAAGGCTAAAAATGTGAAAAATAAACTCTTCACGGAAGGAAAGGTAGCTTCTTTTTTAAAATTAAACCATTAGTTGTGTATCTTGTATGATTAGAAATCAATTTAAAATATAAAGTTATAAAAATCTTAAATTCAAGTATTTTACTCAATAATAAATGCATCTATTCTTATGCCAAAGAAATATAAATTTAAAATTCCTCCTCCAGAATTATTAAAAAAAAAAAAGTTAATGATGCTTTCACTTAGGTCTTAGGTTTATATCCTACTCTTTGGGTTTGGCTATTTATTTATGTTCTAGTTTGTTAGTTAATTATACAGTGATTATAATTTAATTATGATATAATAATTGATTATTCAATTGATTATATGAATATAATACTTAATTATGATTGTAGCCTATCCCATGCCAATAATTTCAAAAATAAAAAATAAAAACCCAAAAGACAAAAGTCTCTTTATATCTTTAAAGCCTTTAAGTCATTCATCAATGCTCTACTTAGTAGTATAAATGATATATATATATATATATATATATTTATATATATATATTATTGTAAGCTACTCAAGTTTAATTTGAGAAAAATTTGAATTCATTTTTGTTATTGTCAAGTTAGATCACGAGTAACTCAATTTATCGAATGAATCGAGTTTGAATATCTTAATGCTTAACATGAGTAGTTTGCGAGCTTATTTGAATTTTTTTATTTTAATAGATATTTTTATTTATTTTTAACAAAAATTATAATTTTACCTTAAACTATATATACCTAACATAAAAAACCCTAAGCCTAAATTACAATCTGCCTCCCTTTCTCACCCATCCGGACCTAACTTCTCTTCTAAAATGTTAATAGGGAGAGTATGAAATGGTAGAGCATTCTCTATTTTCATCATCAATTTATTATATTTTACACATCCCTTACTTATATTCAATTGGTATTTTAAATTTGTTGTCGTCACCATCTTTGTGAGTATTTAATAGGTATGGATAATTTTATATTCGTATTTTTTTAAAAAATAAAAAAAAATTTTATTTTTTTATTTTTATATTTATCTTATACATTAATGTATTTTTTTTCTAAATATAAAATTTTTAAATAAAATTATATTAATTCTAATTAATCTAAAATAAAATTTTATACTATTAAATAAAAATTGAATTTATTAAATATATATAAATATATGGGGTATATATACACTTATGGGGTGAGTGCTACATTACTTATTCTTATACTCGTACTCAATAAAAAAAATTTAAAATCATATTCATCTCTATCTCATCTCAAAATTTAATCCCCATCCTTACCCATTTTTAGATGAAAAATTAAAATTTTCACTAGATTTAGATAAGATAAGCATCCCTACTAATTGTCAGTGGAACCCTTTCCCTAACCCAGCCCTAATGACAACTAAGTAAATAAATCCAAAACAAGTGGATCCCATTATCACACCAAAAATAAATAAATTAAAAAAAGCACATTTAACTTCCACTTTACTTTCTCTGCTTCTCTATAGCTTTGAACACTGTGTTCAAGTTTATCAATATTCTAAGGCAAATAAAAACTGTTAGTAGAACTAGTTAGCGCATTTTTCTTTTCGATTTAATATTAGAAATATTTTCAAAATATGAAAATAGTTTGATTAAGAAAACTTAATCATAAGAGAAATCAAATTAAGCTTTATATTAGCTTAAGCAAGGAATTCCATGGTCTAAAAGACAAAGGAATTTACGTTAAAAGATTATCCAAGAAAGCAGTTGATTGCCATGTCATAAGCAGTCGATTGCCTTAGACTATCAACAAAGGCGGCCGACTGTTCGAATGAAGCAATCAACTACTATGCTTATACAAGAACTGAGCAAAATCTTGGCACTTACAATGAAGTAGTCAAATGGCCAAGTTACGTAATCAACAGCTTTAGCAGTAAATCAATACCAGCTGATTCTTATTCTTAGAGAAGTTGACTAGTGTTGCATACAAAGTCTTCAGGATGATTAAAGGTTCAAGGCAGTTGACTACTGGAGTGGGAAATTGACTACCCTGATGCTAACACTTTTTGGAATAAGTAGGAAGCAATTGCAGCCTACAACAGTTGACTTCCCTATTATAACGAACCTACTGGATCAAAGGTAGAAATGGCTGTCTTACCAAAAAAGCAGACTACTTTTCTTCTTGTGGCTTTCTAGAAACAAAAAATACAAAAAGTAGTCAACTTTCCTTGTGAAGCAGTCGATTACTATACATCAAAAGTTATAATTTTTAGAAAAAAGAAACAAGTGACTTCTTTTATAATAAAAGATTAACTATTCAGATGAAAATCTTTATTTTTAATTATTCAAAAAGATATCTTTTTATTAAAGAAAGTAATTTTTTATTTAAAAAACACAATCAAAGAATCACTACTTTTTTATTCGATCTCTATAAATTAAGATGATGAGTGTTTATTTGATAGAGTTAGATATTAAGAATTCTCTTTTCTTTCACCTATTCTTTAATAAATAAAAGTTTATTACTTTGATATTATTTTTGGTCAAATTAATGTTTAAAGTTAAATATTTTTGTTTCTCATCAATGAGTATTTAGTGATTTGATATTATAAGTGCAAAATGACATCAAACAAGGTTACATTGTATCTTAGAGGTATTTTGGTTATAGTCTTTTTGCATACCATAACTGATAAGGACAAAACAAGCCTTAAGAAAAGTGACATTTGCAACTTGTCTTGAACAATTTCATTTGTTCTTTAAACACTCCATCTTAAGTTCAAATAAAGTTTGGATGAGAAGATTACAACTGAAGTTACAAGTATAAGATCATCATCAACTATCAACTTCAAGTTGGTGAAGAAACAAGTCTTGAAACTAACATTTTATTTGCACCATCCAAGGTTGAATAAGTGGTGGTGCTGCCACTTAACATAATGCAACGCTGTCGAAGATTTATTGGGGTTATTACATTATGTGATTTTGTGTAGAGGGTGTTACGAGCCATCTTTGTATAAGGCCATAGTCGGGTAGAGGTGTCAAGGAAGAGGGTAAATTTCATGTGCTAGGAAAAAATGTCTCTATTTCAAATATTTTAATGGTTCTTAGTAGCATAAGTGTAAAAGCTCTTAAGTTCTTTAGAGGAGGTGAGTAGTCGATAGATTGTTAGGCTACTCACTAATTAAAGTACATGTTAGACCACCCATCTAAGGCTACCCTTCTAGCCTCAACAATGGTGAAAAACTTGATGCTTCTTTATTAATTGTTGTAACTTTTTCGATATTAATAAAATATTTTTTTCTTTCAGTGGCATCAAGGTCAAGCTAGTATACACCCATTACGCCCTAATATTTCATTGCCTATATTTGAGATTAACTTGTTGCTTGTTTAGATTTCAAGCTATCTTGGCTAACTTGTGTGGAAACGTCTATCTAAGTGCCCCATGGGCTATTTCTTTATTGAGAGAAAGCTTAATTTGTGTCACGTGGTATAAGAGTACGATTGAAAAGTGTTAAAACTAAAGCAAATATGGTTATAACAAGTGGTGGATATGAGGATCGACAAAAGACTGAAAAGTTCAAGATTGCAGTGGCCACCTTGAAAGTTCATATGGTAACTAATGATTGATTGAGAGAGATCGAGATAGCTCAATGGAAGCTATCTGATACTTTGAACAATTTAGCAGATGAGACAAGAATGCTATAAGCATTCTCTAAAGAGAGTTTAAGAAACTCAAGGCTCAAGTTAGCGTTCTACAATTTGTTGTGGTCGAATTTGGTTTTAGCTCTATAGAAAAAAGGAAATCGATCAAAGTGCTTGAGCTTCAATGTTATAAGGGGGTAAGGGATGTCAAAGAGATTGAGAATTTATTATTTGATATGGAACAATACTTTCAAGCCTTGTACATAGATTTAAAGAAAGATAAGGTTGCCATAGCTGCAATATATCTTGCCAGAGATGACAAGCTATGATGGCATTCAAAATTTGTAAATGATAAGTGCCTTATCAAAACTTAGGCAGACTTTA